TTCCTGGAATGTAGGGAGACGATATCCAGGGAGGTGAAGGCCATGGCAAGTCTGCGGGGCCAGCATGTACTGCACCTGCTGGGGGTCACCGGGAAGCTAGAATGGGAACATGTGCGTGGGCCAGCTCTGGTGACTCAGTTCATGGAAAACGGTTCCCTGGTGGGGCTGCTGCAGCCCCACTGTCCTCGGCCCTGGCCGTTCCTCTGTCGCCTGCTGCAGGAGTTGGTGCTGGGGATGTGTTACCTGCATAGCCAGAATCCAGTGCTTCTGCACCGGAACCTCAAGCCCTCCAACGTCCTGCTGGACTCAGACCTGCATGCCAAGGTCAGCCCACCCATAGCCCAGCCCAGCCTCTGGACACAGTCCTGTCTCAGAACTGTTCTAGCCCCACCCACTAGACACAGAAACTGCTTCAGCTCTGTCTGCTGCATACTCTCAGCATTTCCCTTGGGACACAGGTGTCAAAGCCCACCCAGGAGCCATGGCCCCTACCATACCATGTGTTTGAGACCCTGACCAACACGGTCAGTTCCACAGGCCCACCCACCAGTCCATCAAAAACCTCATGGCTGACCTAGCTGAGGAGACTCAGACTTTGACCCAGCCCCATGAAGGGTACCCAGACCTCCAACCCAAGGGCCCTACTGGTCCTCCCATTCCCCTAACCCTCAAAACCCCCTTTACAAGGCTGGACCTGCACCTTGTGGTGGGAGAGGGAATTCTGAAAGTTGCCTTACCTGTCCATCCCCAACCTTCTCCTTCCTCCCTCCCTTTCCAGCTGGCAGATTTTGGCCTATTCACATTTCAAGGAGGCTCAACGTCACTGGCAAGATCTGAGGAGTTAGCCCTAGCCTACTTGGCCCCAGAACTGTTGGCTGATGTAAACCGGAGAGCCTCCATGGCTAGCGATGTCTACAGGTAAGGTACCCACTCTAAACACACATTCCAAATTTCTATACCTCTCTGGACCCTTCTAGGGGCCGGTATATGGGAAAGTAGTCTTGCCAGCAGTTTGCTCAGGTCTCAGCTTTGTGTCTCCTGCAGCTTCGGGATCCTAATGTGGGCAGTGCTAGCTGGAAGAGAAGCTGAGAGTAAGACTCTAGGCACACACTGGGATCCTTAACTCCAGGTGCCCTCCTCCTGCAAGCCTCCAAACCCTCTTCTTCCAGCTTACCTGCTCAGACTGCCTGACTTTCTCCTCACCTTGCCTTGGACTACACTCCTTTCCCCTTCCCATGGTGGAGCAAGTGGCCCCTTATACCCTGAATGTCTTTTCTTCACATCCTCCACCCCCACTCCAGTAGTGGCCCAGAAATCAGCAGTACAGGAAGCAGTGTGTGAGAGGCAGATCCGGCCCCCATTGACCAAGCTGCCTCAGCCCGGCCCAGAGACTCCTGGTTTGGAAGGACTGAAGAGGTTAATGCAGCACTGCTGGAGCCATGAGCCCAAGGACAGGCCCTCCTTCCAAGGTGAACTGGCCATTTAGCTGTCAGCCAGGGTAGGCCTGGATCTGTCAGCAGGGGGCTTCTCCCTGGGAAGGTTTGGCTCATCTGCCACCCCACTCTGCTTGTTTCCAGAATGCCGACCAAATACCGAGGAAACCCTCAATCTGGTAAACAAGGAGATGGATGCCGCAGTCTCCATGGTGAGTGTCCAATGCCATCCCCAACCCCAGAGCGGAGCAAGGATGGCACAACATGGCTCTCTTGGCCACCCAATGACTCCCCACTGACCACTGTTCTTTATGCATGCCTTAATCTTTGGCCCCACTCTCCCCACCTCACCACTGAGTTCCCAGGTAATGCATTATGGACCAAGAGATTCTTTCCTTGGGTTTACACTGGCTCTCCCACTTCCATGCCCAGAACGCTCCTTTTATCCTTGCAGGTGAAGAAGTTCCTGTCTGAGCACAGGGGTAGCAACAGGATGTTGTCTGCCCCCAAGCCAGGCCCAGGAGGGACAGAAACGGATGAGCCTAGGGGAACCACAGGAAGCCATGATTCTATAGCCTCTGAAATGTTGAACAAACTAAATCTGAAGGAGGCCCCCCGCTGTGTTCCTAAGAAATGTACAAATCTTCCTGAGAGGATCAGGACACAGGGAGACAAGGTTCAGCCTTCCTGGAGAGCAGGGATACCTTCAGCCTCAACAGCCCCATCTCCCCAAACTCCAGAGACCTCACCTTTCAGAAATCATACCCCCAGCCCCAGGTTGGCTTGGACCCCAGGTCCTGGGCCCAAAGGGAAGCAGGTGAGACCCTGGCAGAACTAGAGGATGCACTAGGAATCCTGTGAATCCTGTCCCCCTCGCCAGGGAAAATTTGGGGCTGAAGGGGATGCAGCAGGGGAATAGGCCCCAGGACAGGGAGCCTAAGAGAGCTGTGTTGTTCGCAGGGGGCTAAGAGACATGGCACCAACCGGCCAACCAGGGCACCAGGGCTAAATCCAATACCAGGTACCCACTCCCCACTCCTTCCTTTCTCCTGCTTAATTCTTCCCCTGGCTTCTTCCTCAAGACCATATATAGATCCAGGGTACCTTGGGTAGCAGGGGAGAGAAAGGGCTAGTGGCCAACTACCCCAAACTTCTCGTTTCATAAAATGAAGAAACTGACACCCACTGGGACTAGATCCCACTGAGGTCACACAGCAAAGCCTGGATTTGCCCTGAGCTTCCTGACTTTCCCCAGCACCAGCTCTGTGAACCCCTATCTTCCGTTGTTGCTATACTGGTCCAGAGGGGCTCCTGGAAGAAAAGACCCAAATATCAGGGTCTCAGACATTAGTTGCCACTCCTTTTGAACTTCTGCAAATGGGTTCTGAAGGGGCAGCAGGAAGGGGAAGGCCAAGGCATGCCTTGACCCAGCCACAGGCCAGCCTAGAGACCCCATACTTGCAATTCCCCAGGATGGACACAAGGTGCCGCTGCCCCTCCACCCTGCTGCTCCTCCTAATTTTGAGGTCCTCACTACTTAACCCTTCCACTAACCCTGCAAATTTCTCTTAAAGGGCCGCCATCTGTTATCATAAGTGACAGCCATGCGGTACAGGTGGGAGACAACAACTACTTGATTATACAAGGAGGAACTGCCTTATCCACACAGGGCCAGGCACCTTGGGGCATGGGTAGAGGCTGGCAGCATGCCCCCCACAAGTAGGTGGGGAAGTAGGGCCACAAGAACCAAGAAGCCTGGAGTGGGCTGCAGGGCCAGTACAAAGCAGGTTCTGAGCTACCTCTTGGACTTGAAGCAATTAACTGAGACTTTCTTTAAGGGCCATCTGGCCTGCAGCCAAACTGACTTTGTGCAAAGAAGAGTCAATAAACGTGGTGAATTTTTTTTAAGTTTATTTATTTTAAGAGAGAGAACACATGAGGAGGGGAGGGGCAGAGACAGAAGGAGAGAGAGAATCCCAAGCAGGCTCTGTGCTGTCCGCGCTGACGGGGGTGCTCCATCTCACAAGGTCATGACCTGAGCAGCAATCAAGAATCAGAAGCTTAACCAACTGAACCAGCCAGGCACCCCCACGCATGGTGGATTTTTAACCAAAGCGTCATACTTGGGAGGCTAATGCTTAGGCCAGGCCCTGGCAGCTGAAATGTGGCTGGGAGATCCGGGAGTTGACAGAGAGGGAACCCAAGGCACTGCTGTCTAGCAGAGGCCGGAAGCGGGATGCTCAGGGCTGGGGGTGGGCAGTGTCATGGCACACAAGGTCAGGGCCCAGCTGGTGGCAGGAAGGAATCCCGGTCGCCTGGCTCCTGGGGCTGCTCTAATCTCTGGGTGGAGCACTTCCTCTACATCAGGCAAGAGCCCACCCTAAACCAAAATTCTGGTGATAGTCTCCCTGCCTACTTTTCTTCTGGGCTATGGAGACTCCGCAGTGGGGTCTTGGGAAGAGGGCTCTCTACGGGCATCCGCAGACCCAGGCGCATCTCTTGCCCTGCAAGAAACCCCCCAGCCTCTTGGAGGTCAGCCACCGTACTTATTTGCCTCCACAATTACTCACCACCTACACTCACCTGCTCCTTGCTTCCGAGCCCTTTGACTCCCAGCTGGTGTCAGGAGTAGAAAGCCACGACTCCACAAAGCTACACACAGACGTGCCTCCTCCCATGGAGCTGGACTCCATGGGAGCATGGACAGTTCAGACTCCACCACAGCAGCTCATACAGGCAGGAGGAGAGGAGAATGGGAACACCCTTCCATCCTGACGTGAATCCTACCCCCCATTCGCCCCCACATTCTTCCTTACATTCTTGCCGGCTTTCACTCCAGCTGTCCTGCATTCTCCCCACGTCCAAGGGTTCCACTCCGATTTCCACACTCGCTCTTCAGCCCGGCCTACGCCACCCCTTCGCATCTCCGACGGTCTGCATTCCCTTCTGGAGACGGCAGAAGGGGGAAGGTGACGGTGTTAGGGGAGACAATGAGGGAGGGAGGAGGCCTGAGGAGTCCGACTCGACTCGGCACGGGAAGGGGCCGGGCAGTCCCATCGGGGGAAGTGGGAGGGGTCCCCAGGCGCCAGGAGGGAAGCGCCTGCCGCCCGGGGCTCTGAGCCACTAGCTTCTCGGGGATCGGGACTCCGCGACCAGCTGCCCGAGCTCCCTCCTCGGGCGTAACCCATTCAGCTGCGGCAGCATCGCGGGCAGTGAGTTTGGGGAAAGGGGGAACCCGAGGCTCCTTTGCTTCAACCGCAAATCCCGTCCCACCCGGCCATGAGGCTTTTGCTAGGGCACCTCAGGCAGTCTGGGTTCGAGGGAGGAGGAGCGAGGGATGGGGCAGTCCCCTCACCGCCAACAGGGAAAAGGCTGAGAGGCCACAGGGAGTGCCTGGAAGGTGGGATTGCCGCGAGGTTGGGGAAACGGGATGGAAGTGGCTTGGACCCAGTGAGAGGGGCACAGTTGGGGCCGGCTGGGGCCGCAGGCGGTAACGCGGCCCCCGGCCCTCCCCAGCCCCGGGGCCCGCCCTCCACCCGGGCGACGAGGCGGGGGGCAGGGAAGACCATGGCCCGCCTCTTCAGCCCCCGGCCGCCCCCCAGCGAAGACCTCTTCTACGAAACCTACTACAGCCTGAGCCAGCAGTACCCGCTGCTGCTACTGCTGCTGGTGATCGTGCTCTGCGCGCTCCTGGCGCTGCTGGCTGTCGCCTCCGCCAGCGGCCGGGTGAGCGGGGAGGGGGGCGGCTCTGGTGAGGGGCGCCTTCCGGAGGGTGGTGGGAGGGTCACTGCCTAGGGGGCGTTTTCGGAGTTAGGGCTCGGGAGGGGCCTGCTTTTCCATATGCCTTCTTTGCTGGAACCCAGGAAAGCCTTACTAGGAAATGTAGTGACCCTGGACAAGTCACTCCACCTCTGGGGCCACATTCGCTGGGCTGCTGGGAGAAGGCTGAGCCCTGGGGGTGCTTCTAATTTCTCTCAGGGTACTGACAGGCCTTCTGAGCTTCTGTGATCTACTGGTTCTAGAGTAAATGCAACACCGGATTTTCCAATTTTCCAGAGGGGAAATTACACTGGGCCCTGTGGGAATCCGTTTCCTGGTTTTCTTTCTTTCATAGGGGTTGTGGGGCAGTTGTACCCATAGTCTCCCAGAAGGCACCCTCCCTCCCGCTCACATTTAGTCCCAAAATAAACCCATTTCCAGTTTCTAGTTTCTTTTTCTTTTTCTTTTTCTTTCTTTCTTTATCTTTTTTTTTTTTTTTTTTTTTTTTTTTTTTTTTTTTTTTTTTGAGAAAGGGGGTCTTCAATTCAATTCCATTTCTGGAAATATCCTGCTCCAAGTTTTCTTTTCACTTTTTGGAGGCAAGTTGGGAAAGCCAATAAACAGACCAATTCTTGCTGGTCCTCGAAGTCCAGGAAGAGGTGGGGACACAGGGCAGGGACAGCGGTGGGAGGCCTACACCCAGAGGTGGGTGGCAAAAGTGTAGTGCTCCCCCCTAGCCTGACAGGAGGGAGGTTCCAGGTGCCCCCTGCTGCTGGAGCACTTCTTGGGTGGGTGGATGGGGATCAACTCCCAGACTTGTCCCCAGGGCAGGGAATCTCCTGAGCAAACTGGTTCATTCCTAAGTGCCTTCTGTAAGGTAGGATTCTTTGGTTGCTTCAGGACCCCTGGCTGGTGCTGGAATTCCTATTTGACAGACTAGAAAGCTGAAGTTCAGAAAGGTCATGGATTCACAAATGGGCAGTATGGGTTCTGAGCCAGGGACTCTGGATAGATGGCCTAAGGCTCAACCACCCCTGCAGCATGCAAGTGAGATATTAGGTTGAACCCTATGAGACCCCAGGCTCTGTAGATTAAAAACAGATTATTGGTGACTTCCTATGGTTCAACCTACTACGAATGGCAAGTCGAGGTGCCCTGTCTCCTTTTGCTACTTGAGTTTGAGACACATTTCAGAAGTGGCCTGGGGGGACTGCCTGTTCTTCTTCAGCTTGGAGGCGCTCCCCCATACTCCACACTCCAGTCTTGCTGCAAGCACCCTCTCCTCGCAGGAGCTAGCTTCAGACCCAGGCTTCCTGACCACTGTGCTGTGCGCGCTGGGTGGCTTCTCGCTGCTCCTGGGCCTGGCGTCCCGGGAGCAACGGCTGCAGCGCTGGACACGTCCCCTGTCGGGCCTCGTATGGGCAGCGCTACTCGGGCTAGGCCACGGCTTCCTGTTCACTGGGGGCCTGGTGAGCGCCTGGGACCAGGTAAGAGGAGCGGCAGGTGGAGCAAGGGGCAGCAGGACAGCCAGGCCAAGAGGAGGGAGCAGCCCAGCTGCTGGGCTGGCCGAAGCCAGCAGCTTCCTGTGCCCTCCCGCCCCCAGGTGTCCTTTTTCCTCTTTGTCATCTTCACCGTGTACGCCATGTTGCCCTTGGGCATGCGGGATGCCGCTGCTGCGGGCCTTGCCTCATCGCTCTCCCACTTGCTGGTCCTTGGGCTGTACCTTGGGCCTCAGCCTGACTCAAAGCCGGCGCTGCTGCCACAGGTGAGCACACCCATAGTACCTGCTGCGCAGCGGGGGGAGGGGGCGGCCCCGCTGCGGCGCGCGCGCGCGCGCGCCGTTAGTTCCTCTGAGCGTCCACCAACTTCTTGCTGAGCTGGGACTCCAGGGTGAGGCGCCCGCTAAGCACAGAGGACAAACACATACACACCCACACAGTGCGCTCATAGGGCTGGTACACCAGGGCAGCCCGATGCCTGCAGAAACCAGAAGAGGCCTCTGGGTCCATGGGCAAGTGAGCTCACCTGGGGACCAGAGTAGTGGGGACAGATGCGGATGATGGAACCTTCACAGAGAATGTAAAAGTCGGAGATTGAGTGGTTTTGCGCTGCGAGGGGTGGGGGGCGGGGGGGGGGGGGA